TTGGGGACAGTTGGGGACAGTTGGGGACAGTTGGGGATATTTGGGGACACTTGGGGACAGTTGGGGACACTCAGGGACACTTGGGGATATTTGGGGACAGTTGGGGATATTTGGGGACACTGGGGACAGTTGGGGATATTTGGGGACAGTTGGGGATATTTGGGGACACTTGGGGACACTTGGGGACATTTGGGACACTTGGGGACAGTTGGGGATATTTGGGGACACTGGGGACAGTTGGGGACACTTGGGGACAGTTGGGGACACGGTGCCAGCGGCGTGACACGAGTGCGACCCCCCCGTGCAGGGATGGGGACAAGGATGGGGGGCTCTTCGTCAACACCAACCGTGTGGGGACCCCCGGGGACGAGGACACGGGGGACGAGGACACGGGGGACAGCGGAGAGGACACGGGGGACAGCGACAGCCAGGAGGACACCAGTGACAGCGGAGAGGACACGGGGGACAAGGACCCCGAGGAGGAGCACCCGGAGCACCCCAGTGACAGCGAGGGCGACACAGAAGGTGACACAGAAGGTGACACCGAGGGTGACACAGAAGGTGACACCGAGGGTGACACCAAGAGTGACCCAAAGGACCCCCGTGACAAGAGCGGCGGTGACAAGGACCCGAGTGACACAGAGGGTGACACAGAAGGTGACACAGAAGGTGACACAGAGGGTGACATGAAGGGTGACCCGAAGGACCCCCGTGACAAGATCGGCGGTGACAAGGACCCGAGTGACACCAAGGGTGACACCAAGGGTGACACAGAAGGTGACCCAAAGGACCCCCGTGACAAGATCGGCCGTGACAAGGACCCAAGTGACCCCCAGGAGGACACAGAAGGTGACACCAAGGGTGACCCAAAGGACCCCCGTGACAAGAGCGGCGGTGACAAGGACCCGAGTGACCCCCAGGAGGACACAGAAGGTGACACGAAGGGTGACACAGAGAGTGACCCGAAGGACCCCCGTGACAAGAGCGGCGGTGACAAGGACCCGAGTGACCCCCAGGAGGACACGGGGGGGGCCGAGGCCACCCCCCAGCCCCGGGACAGGGGGGACACCGGGGGGGGTCCCCAATAAAGGACAGTCGCTGGTGGCACTTGGGGACCCGGGGGTGGCTCTGTGTCCCCTCCCCCCCAGCGACAGGAGGTGACACCGAGTGACAAAGGACGGCCCAGAGGCCTTTATTGGCCCCCGGGGGGGGAAAGGGGGGGACATTGAGGGGGCCCAGGGGAGTCCCCAGGGGGGTCCTGTCCCGGGGGGGTCCCCAGGTCCTTTCCCAGGGGGTCCCCCCAGGGGTCCTTTCCCAGGGGGTGTCCCGGGGGTGTCCCCGGGGGTCCTCACTTGGTGATGGTGTTCCTGGGGGGAGAAGGAGGGGGGGGTGTCAGTGTCCCAGTGCTCCCACTTCCCCTCCCAGCGCCCCCAGTTCGCATCCCAGTGTCCCCAGTCCCCCTCCCAGTGCTCCCAGTCTACATCCCAGTACTCCCCAGTCCCTTCTCAGTGCCCCCAGTCCCCTCCCAGTCTGTCCCAGTCCCCTCCCAGTGCCCCCAGCCCCATCCCAGTACTCCCCACTCCCCTCCAAGTGCCCCCAGTCCCCTCCCAGTCTGTCCCAGTGCTCCCAGTCCCCTCCCAGCGCCCCCAGTCCCCTCCCAGTGCTCCTAGTCCTCCATCCCAGTCCCTCCACCTCCTTCCCAGT